TATAATTCCCCCCGCACTTACAGAGTCTGATCAGGTAGCAGGGATGTGACACACACGTGTGAAAAGATGTTTTTGGGACATGTAACAAGAATTTCTTCACTGTTCCAGCTTGATCTCAGACACAGTTTTGGTTGGTCAAACATAAAACAAGGTGAAAGAACTATTTCAGTGTCCTCCTCTCTGCGGGAATACTTTCAAATTGACTGTAACAAATCGTGTTCATGCCGATGTTCTGAATTTCATTCTCAGGTGAGAAAGAAGGAGAGAGCTCCACAGTTCTCCTCCTGGAAGCTGAGGAGCTGCAAGTGTAGTACGAGCTGCCAGATCGTTAGTCCGGCTAATCCCGGCCGCAGTCGCGCCGGCGGAATGATATTAGGGATCTGAAATGCTGTTAGGAGGGCCAGGTGGAATCAGATTAAAACCAAACTGCGCACTGTGCGTTTACAGGGCCCATAACCTTCTACTCAGCATGAATTTTGATCGGTACAAAGGGAACAAAAGGAGGAGGAACGGAGAAAGGAAAAGACAGAGGGGAGATACTGTGTCTTAGAAGAGAGCCGTTCCTTTGGGCAGCCAGGCAGCAGAATCTGAAAAGGCTCTTAGCTCGAGGAAGGAAGAAAGAACTATAGATTTTATAGCATCAAGTCTCAGATAGTTCAGCAAACCCTTTTCTGTCTGTTCTGTCTGTGCACCACATGAGCTAATTACTACCTGCCCCCACATAATGAATTATTTATCAGGACTATTGCTGCTGTCAAATAATTTAATGCTCATAATTCATTTTCCGCTTACAATTGTATTTATAGATTTAAATTGGTCCTGTCCTGCTGGAGATTAGGAATATTTATAGAAATATTTTAGACTATTTGATTAATACAGCAGGTTTAAGTGGTTAGTATTCGCTCAGCATCATTAATCAATATAAGCGGGCTTGTTAAAAACATAAGCATATAGTGGTGGTGGTAATGTGTCATACCAGAATGAGTTAAGGGGTTTCCAGTCTGCACATTTATTATAAATGACCACGTTGAGCTGGAGGGGAAACAGTTAAGACACTTATGCAATTATGCTAAGTGTCACCCTGAGGATGGCCTTTGAACCGAGGTTAAGCTCACTCTGAATTTGTGAAATAAAAGCTAAATGGAGCCATCTTGTGCTCCTGCGTTTTAATATATTGCCTTTAATAAGCCGAGTGCAGGTGGCCTGTCGTGCAGGTGCACATATCCATCTGAGACATAGAGCATAAAGCAGATGAACACATAGGTACTTGTTAATTTATAGGGATGTAATCTGCATTCATTATCAAGAGCAGCAAGGCCCATTTTAGAATGAGATCTAAGAGATTAACAATATTTGTGACTGCAGTAACGCAAGAGAGTAAATTATGAATTAGATCAACCAAAAGCTACAGTAGAGAGGCAGCGATGCATCAGTTTGAAAAGATTTGACCTACTGATTCTGAATTTAGACAATTTCTGTCCAGGGATTATTATTAACAAAAAATTGAGTCGACTTTTTGGTTAAAAACATAAAACACATCAACTACACAACTTTACAATTCTTTATTATTTAGCACACCTCAAAATGTTGAAGTGCATCCAATGATAAGTTTTATTGGAGGGACCCGTAAAAGTAAGTAACAGTTGCACCTATTTGAAAATAATTTATCTGCTAGTATTTGTTAGAATGCCAAACCATTAAATCATTTAATGTAACTATGATAGGAGCCTGAAGTGGCTTTTCTTTTGTCACCCAGTGTGTCAGAGAGAGCAGTTGGCATTACAATACTCTGCCGTAAAAGCAGGTTTTACTAATGTATTCAAAATAAGGCAAAATATTTGGAAATTACATTTCAAAGTGTCCTCCGTGTTAAAAATGAACAATTAGATCACCTAACATCATTAGCAGTGCAAACTTTTCATCATGTCTAGAATTCATAAAGCCATTTCTTAATTGTGAGAGTTTACAATTTCTGACAAAATGTTAGAAATTATTCCAAAAGATGAAAACTGAGAAACTGTGTTGTGATAAATTAAGCTCCCTGCTGAAGCTTAAGTCATAAACTGAATAGCTGACATGCCTATGTGGAAAATTCACTTCCTTTCTTCTGTCTTTGTTGTAGGTAACTCACCATTCTTCCTTTGGTAGTAACTTTTGAAACAAACAATAATGCTGTCAGTCAGAGGGATCTCTTAGTACTTGGTATGACCACATGCATTCACTAATTGGAAAAAAGGTCAGATTTTTAGCCTCAATCATTAGTCAGGCATAAAATCAGATGATTTTAGTTGCCTGCAGATTTCTTGGTGCATCTCCATTAAAGTGAATTTAATTTCTCTAATACAAAAAAGCATGTCTGTTCATTTTTATACAGTGAAGGCATTTTAATGGAAGAAGAATTTCAAGACTGCTCAGACAGAAGGGCTTATATCCACAAGGTCAACAGATTTAACAGGGGACATTTTTTATTATTTATTTTAGCAGTTAACCTTTTTGTGAATTTCCAGAAGTGGTGGGCACCCAGAGCTCCGATGAATATACATGACAGCAGGGGAGGGGAAACCCAGGAATGAGATTTAATTTGACACGCTGACCCCCATCTCCACGGGCCCGGGAAGCCGGGGTGAGAAAATAAGGTTGACCCAGTGACCCCCTTGGGCCTGAACTCCTCTGTCACCCATCTTACAATTAAATCAGCCTGAGAGAACAAGAAGATGTTCGGCCAACCAATACCGCAATTTTGGTGTCTCGTCTCCTGTTTGTTCTGTGGAGCTTTCAGACGTGTCGCTGTCGTCCAATCAGAAACTCGGAGCCCACTTGAAAACACCAACCCCTCCTAGTTCAAATGATAAACTGACTTGTTAAACATTTAACTATTACCATTAGTTAGCAATATGTTAATGGAAATAAAGCACAACTTGGGCTGCCACTCTTTCTGAACCCCTCAATCTGCATTTGCATAAGCTGTGCAAGGCTCAATTTTGCTAATGCAGGCAAGTGCAAGCAACCTTTTACCCTTCCCATGGTGCCTAATGCAAAGAGTGTGCATACATGTTAGAGGGTGACCTCACCATAACCCTAAGAGGTTACTATGCGTCTACACAGCATCCTCGCTACATTGAGTAATTCATTTCCCCTCCTTGTTCACCCCTTCAGCTCACTCTAAAGAAAATATGTGCGGACACCCCGCACCGACGCTCCCTCTCCCACTGCCACCGTTCACTCAGTGCAATTTCAAGTTAAAGGTTATAGAGCAGGACTGAAATACATTTATATAGGCATGGAAAGCCTCAGAGTGCATTTTGTGGCCACCGCCAAAAGGCTGCACTTTAGTCTGCACACGTTACAGCATTAGATTACATGTACTCCAAAATACAGTTATAAGGCAGACAGTGAAAAAGTCAATATCTTGCCATCATGTTTCCTTTTGGTTGACTGCTGACTCAAGGAGACAAGGGAAGGTCCGCTGTGCTCTCTAAACTACTGAGATGCCCCCATCTTGATTTGTCCAGTTTGTGTGTGTGCGTGCACTTGTGTGTGTTCAGTTATTTGAGCACTCTTGATTTCTGTCCCTCTGCCTCTTGTTCGTTTTCCCTTTCCTCCCTGTCAGTCTGTGTGTTTGCATTGTGCAGGGAATGTGTGCCGACGTTTGTGTTGCAGTTGTGTGTGTTTGTTTTCTGAAGGACTTTAACAGCTGCCATAGTGCGTGGCTAATGAAACACTTAGGATTCTGGTTTGCTAGTTTAAATGAATGTGAGGGCACAGTGACTAAGAGAACAAAAGATTACAAAACCTAAATTCATATTCATTAAAAATGAAGCAATTGGTAGATTTTGTAAAGCTTTAACCTACTTTGGCTGATTTCCCCATGAAAATATCCCAAAATGCTTAGCCTTCCTGCTGTGAATGATGATTAATTATTTATATTAGGAATAAAGGCAATGTCTGTGTTAGAGAGGAGTCACTGTGAAATGACCAGAGAGTTGACATAAAACTGTATTTATTGTGATATATTGGTGATTAGCACAGTTAGTGTTATTAACAGTAAACTTATGTCAAAAAACATAATTTACATTTACGCAGATTTCGAAAACACTGCAAATGTTTTTAAATCTCCGAAAAAGAGAGAAGCTCAAAGCTAAGCAAGGATAACAGATGAACTTTACACAATTTGTTCAGCCTTCCTATTATCTGCTGAATACTTTCTCTATCTTGCTTTCTAGCAGTCTGCATGAATGGCGAGCTTGTCTCAACATATGAAAGTACAGTTTCATTTTTATAGTTTTTTATGTTTCGGTGCTTCCTCTGATCTTAACTTTATCTTTGAGAACAAATGTTTTGAGTTTTCTTCCCACAGTAACAGTTTCCACACCAACGAGTGTTTTAAGTGTGATCTGTTAGTGATTAAGTATGGTGTAGTGTGTTAACTGGCTTGACTTTTTAAGCTTTTTTAAGCTTAAAAGGATGAAACAGAGCAGCTTTTTTGTACTCCATACAGGTTTCCTGTTATCTGTTAAAAGTTTTGCTACCTTCCGGCCGAAGGATAAGAAGCACAGCATTTAAAAAAGTTTATTATATCTTTGTGCATCCTCATGATATTTCTACACACTTCTCTGAAACTGAAAGTTGAGTTTCAGTCCTGTGTGAGCAGTAACACCAAAAAGTGTTGATGCTACTGTTAGCGCTTATATATGGTGTTTTTATTGACTGGAAAATTATTCATCTTTGTGGATGGAAGTCCACAGAGATGGACTTCTATTATACAGAGAGCAAGTCTGTCTGTCAATGATCAGCAGATCATTGATATAGTGTGCAATAATTCTTAAACAAATCTTAGTTATTGCAAGTTGTATTTCAGATCAATTAATTAGAAAAGTTACTTGTTTAATTGCTGATAAGCTCTTACTGTACTCCTAATTTAAATTTATTTCTGCTAATCATCTTTTTCTCTCTTTTTGTTTATTTTCCCGACATCAATCCTCCCCTCACCTCTAATAAAGGCTGCTGAATAGAATGGCCGCTGATGAACGGCATCTACCGTCCAGCTGTGGGTCCTACATCAAAACAGAGCCATCCAGCCCGTCCTCGGTCATCGACACGGTCAGCCACCACAGTCCCAGCGGAAATTCGGACGCCAGTGGTGGCTATGTCAGTACCATGAACAGCCACTCTAACGGCCTGGACTCTCCACCCATGTTCACCCCTGGTGGGCTCGGCGCAGGCTCCTGCCGCAAGCGCTACGACGATTGCTCCAGCACCATCATGGAGGACTCGTCCATAAAGTGCGAATACATGTTAAACTCCCTCCCCAAGAGGCTGTGCCTGGTCTGTGGAGATATCGCCTCGGGGTATCACTATGGGGTAGCTTCTTGTGAGGCCTGCAAAGCCTTTTTTAAAAGGACAATACAAGGTATTTCCCCTATTCTCCCCTACCGCTATTTCATCTCATGTTGCCACGTCAATAGACACAAAAACACCTGACATACATGAAACCTCTGCTTGCAGAGCAACACCGAAACATACTCAAGGAAAGAGATTTATTTAATACCTCTACTGGAGAATATATTTTTTTTCAAAGTACCACCCTAAAATATTTTAACTACCATTTTAAATATGATACAATGTAAACTTATCTTTCTGTTAAGCTTTGAGTCAGTTTGCCCTTTACTTATTTTCTCAGTTCATTTCCAGTTTGTATCCATGCACTTAACATTTCAAACCAGTTTATTTCTGTAGGGATTTTGATGAATTAGTTGAGATATGTGATTCTGAATGGCATAAACAGACTTGAAATATGAAGAATTATGGAATGAGTTTTCATTCCACCCACCTGCCATCTCATGCTTTTGTAGTTTTTGTCATTTCATTTCAAAGTTTTTAGGGTATAAATTGGAGAAATATGGCCAGGGATTTTTTTTTTGTGTACAAGGGAAACATTTTTAATTCACACTGACAACTGATTAAAACAATTTTCTGTATTATGCCATAGTCTCTGAGGAAATTCAGCAAATATATTGCCACATGATGTTGCTTTGACCAGGGGTTACAATCTGTCATGTGCTATGAGAATCTAGGGGTAAAAAAGAGAATTAGAACAACAATCAATAAAAAATGGAATGACAGTAATTTCAATTTTATGGAATTTGAACATTTTATGAATAAGTAGCACCAAACTGTGACTTCTGATCAAACTAAAATCCAGAGTCTGAGTGGTTGCTAATATTTATTGGAGTCACATAATGACATTATCCATGAGACTACGATCTATCAGTAGATCGTAGAAAATTACTTTAAATCATCACCTATCAAAGCAGGAATGTCAAGCGATGACCCAAAAAGTTAGGTACAAAATGACAGAAACTGCAAAAGAACAAAATAACGAGGAACAAAACGGTCAGTAATCGTAATTGTTATAAAACAGAAACTGGGGTATCTTTGACATAGAGAGATTATGCTGGCATCATCTGTCATGATCACTGGATTTATCCCACAGAGGTCAGATTTGGTTGGGAGGAGGTGCTTTTTTTTTTACCCAAACACAAAAGAGAGGAGACTCAAAAATATCTTTTATTTTTCCTGTCCTGCTTCTGTGTGTATTTCTGCATAGGGACTGATTTGGTTATCTGCAAGACACAATGTATTGCAGCTTCTCATTAGAGAGGCAATGAAAGACCCCCAACTGTGAAACTGTGTGCTCTGCTCCAGATTAATCAGGAAGAGAAAGATATTGTTGAGCCTGGAAAAAAAAATCTGCACAACAGGCACAGCTGCTCAGGTCAGGACTAAGCTCTGTTGGCTTAGTAGTGAAATACATGCTATGGTAAAGCCAAATAGAAAAGGTAGATGAGCCAAATTGAGATTCCTATTATGCCTTCCATCCATTTTCCTCTGTAAATTTTTATCAGCAAATGATTGCAGGAATTATACAGAGAGCAGGTCTGTCTGTCTTGATGCTAGGTGTTGATTTTGGACCTTGCAGCCCTATCAGCTTTAGACAGTCTATGTACCTTTTGCAGGCAAACAAAAGCATTAGGCCAAATCCTCCTGTTTACTCATGCTGCCATCAGCAATCCTGTCTGTTGACAAAAGATGAACATTTTCTCTCAAGTAGCATAACTGAGCTTTTGTCCCCTCAGTAAAAGTATACTGACAGCAACACAATTGAACAGAAACGATGCATTGGGGAAAGAAAGAGACGTCTTAAGTGGAGCAATAGTCCAAACAATTAAGAGCAAGGTACAAGGAGGGGAAAAAAATGGAACGCTCCTCTTTTTTTTTCCATTGTCGATTTGAAATCCCTCTCTTTCTCTTCTTGGAGGGCTGCCTGTAATGGAGCTAATCTGCCGTCGTTTGTCCGAGCCACAGGAGTTTTGTCAATAACAATCAGCGTTTGGAAAGTGTAATTAAGGCCGAGGCTTTTCATTAGGAGGAAGGGAGGGGGCTGTCTCCAGGGATGGGCATGCCAATTAGAAACTCAGGCACGCGTCGCCGGGTAATTTCAGCGAAAGGAGGGGGAAAAAAACCCAAGACTTCTTTAGATTGGAGAGGGACCCTGCTGCTCCTTCAGAGGAGAGGAGGGGAGGCTTAATGGCATAATAATCAGACAGGGGTCCCGAGCAGAGGAGGCAGGGGGATGGAGAGACTTTTTTTGGGGGGGAGGGAGGTGAAAGCCTTCTGAAATGATAAAAGAAACACACACAGGATTGCTGGAGGAAAAACAGAGGGAGTAAAAAGCACATTGTAGAGCCCTTGAAAGAAAGAGAGGGTGCTGTTGATGAGAACTGATTAATTAAAGGAATAACGAGGCAGTCAAGGGTGGAGTGTGAGACGGCCCACTCCTAATGAGAGGAAAACAAAGGAGCTGCCTTTCGCAGGCCTTTATCACATTTCTTCGATAAGACTCAGGGCAAACATGATAAGTTAATGTTAACCATGTACATGACAGCTTTTCCATCACCTTGTGCTCACCTTGTGATATACCTCTTAGCAAATGAGAATTTTTTAAGTGGGTATCGCGGTTATATTTTGAATTATTTGCCAGACTTATGCTCTTATTCTCTGCCATCCCTCTCTTTCTGGCTACGTTTTCAGCTGTTGCCCCTTTCTTTCAACAACAGCCGATAGCAAATCCATCTTCTGTCACCTATTCATACAGTGAAAGGCCCCTTGAACTTATACGTAGGGATAGTTGCATTACTCAAGGCCAGACCCAAATTAATGTCAACCTTTATCTCCATCCATCCCAGAAATATCTCTGTTCTCATTGCTCCACTTATTGCCCCCCATCTTCCTGTCTCACGTGCTCCACCAATCAAAAACATAAATGCCTTATTGAAACGTGTTTTCTTCCCATTTTGAACCCAAGTGTAAAATTGCTTGAAAACCAACTGAACTCGGTGGCCCTCTTTTATGTGAAGTAATAGACCTTGACAGTAAGCCTGTAAAAGTCAGTTTAGATTTTGATGAGAAATACCTGCCATTTTACTGTAATTTACTTACAAGACCTGACTTTCCCCCTCTGTGCCCTGGCATGGGTCCTGAAAAGCCATAAAATAGATTGAGACAGATACTTATCAAGAGAGAAAAAAGGAGGGAAATCTCTTTTTTCTCCCGCCTTCACCCTGTAATGTTATTGGTAACTAAACTATGACCTCTGTGAAAACAGATAAACCTGGGCATGACCTTTTGGGCTAATGCTTCATCTCAGAGAGTTTCATTTGTGGAGGGGAAACTTTCCTTCCTGTTACCTTCTCCCTTTGTCTGGAAATGTCTGTGACTATCTTTCATTTAAAATAAAATAAAAGTTGTGCGGTTGCCTTCAGATTAACACCACACACCTGTGCTTCTTTCAACAACCGTGTTTTTTTAATTGTCCACCTAATACTCCACAAAGTCCTCAGAAGCAAAAACACTTAAAAAATACAGACATGATTGCGAAGATAGTCATCCCTGGCTGAACAGGATTGAGGATTAATAAAATGCTTTTTATATTTCTCTGTTATTTGCTTTTTTTTAACTTTAAAGCTTAAGTAGAAGTCACTTTTTACTTCTGCTTGAGTCCTTGGGCAGTGGTGGTCATGGCCGTGGGAAGCTGTGATGGGTATCCCTTGTTTTCACTTCTGAAAAGTGGCAACTTAATTCAAAAGTAATGACTTGCAAGAAGATGCCAAAAATATTGAATCTACTTTAAAATAGTGAAAAACTGTCAAATCATTAACATGTTCTGTTTGTTGTCTAGAGATGAACTCAGATGAGTCAAACTGTTCACTTGAAATATTTATTAGATTTAACAGGGAAAGGATTAAACAAGTGAAAATAATTAATGTGCTGCAGAAAGCTATATGCTTTATTTGGCTTTATCATGTCAAGTTAAAAATATAAACACAATTGTTTTTTCTCCACTACAAACCCATAAATTTAACACTTGATTTATTGCATCAGTTCAGTTCCTTAGACTCATGTTACGTGTATATTCATAACTAATTTAGGGCTAGGCAAGTTGAAGGTTATCTCAGGTCATGTTGTGACTTCACTGAGACAGTTTGTGTAGTGATACCCAAACACTCCGTGCTCTAAAAATAAATCAAACACAGACGCGAAGAATTAGTTAATCCACTCTTCACTCTGCAGTGAGAGATCTGAATCCCCCTCTGAGCAGAACATCAGATGAGAAAGAAGCTCAACAGGACAGGTGGACACAGCAGCGTGTTTGTTTTTGTTTCTGTGGCATTAAAAAGGCCTTGCTTGGCCCCAAGGTGTGAAAATACACACCCTTACATTGTGTTTGGCCAATAAAACTGACCTAAGACACATGGGTGTGTTTGTTTTAATATAAATAAAAACGAATTATTTTAACTAGAAATGTAGTGATTGGGTAGAGGCACAAAAGACCAAAGAATGACGTCCCTCCAGGACAGCATTGATTGTCTCCTCCCGCCTTGTGGGAAATGAATTGGATTATTATGGTGTGTTCTGCTATGACAACAGAGAAAAACAGTCTGAGGAAACGCAATCAGAGCTCATCAGCCGGCTCTCTCACACCTTTATTTACCCCAACCCCAAAGAGATGATGGGAATTAGCATAATGATTTCTAACCCAGATAAAAAGAGGAATTTCTAATTATTTGTAACATCTTGGGACCCTCCTCCTGATCTGTCCAATAATGTTAACATAATTGCATAAGTTGTCAAAGGGTGTTGAAGGGCTAGCGGAGGAACGCTGGTGGAATATTACACAATTTCCTTACAGAAATGTAGAGCAATGGTCAGAGTAGTTGATACATGTTGGGTTTGCAGTCAAAATGTGTGTTTGAGCATCAAAGTACAACTCCAGTTTAAAAATTACAAAAGTAAAGTTTATAAAACTGTCAATGTCAGAAGCTTTAAAGCTTAAAAGTCCACTTAGGACAACAAAATGATTCAAATTCCTATTCTTCAAGTAACTATTACACTGAAACCCACTATTGAAAGACCCAGAATACAATGAAATGTATAGAGATGCACAGAGATGGAGTCACTGCCTTACATATCCTTCCCTTTCTGCTACTAATGCTAGAGCAGGGCATGCTCTTTTATTGTGGAGCAATGAAACTCTTTCTCAAGATGCTGCAGCTGAATAATGCATAAGGACTCTTGGCTGCACACTATGTAAATAGTCAACAATAGCAACAGTGGTAACAACAGGTTTGGGTCTACAGGAGTATTATGTAAAGTGGTCAGGGGCAGTGTGTCTGGCTCTCTAGCCTGCTATTGAGGCAGAAGCAGAGCCTATGTGAGCACAAGGGGGGGACATGACCCACGCTGGGACCTGGAGGGGACATGTACAGAATTAATGAGGCCAATTTAGTGTAGAACCGGGGCGGCATCTACTGAACGGTCCTTAAGGACCGTTGTAGCTTTACCCCTCTCCCTATCCATGCGCTTTAACTCCTCCTCTCCTTGTCCTTTGGTCGTCAAAGTGAGTACCAGTGAGTAGTAGAAGGTACTCACTGAAAAACAAAACCACCTGAGCTGCCCAGCCACTAGGTAGGAGGTGGAATGATATTCCCTAATGATAATCTTGACTAAAAATACCAGTTGTAGACTATTAGACAAAAATCTACAACAAAAAGATAGTACATGATCAAAATACCTTTCTTTAAAACATGAAAGCAACTTTTCCAACTGCTGCTAAATGAACAAAAATGTTTTTAATTTCCCTGTATTTGTTTGTTAGTGTTTTGAGCTACATATTTGGTCTTCTCCACGCACACAGATTAAAGAACTACTAAATTTAAATATACTTTTTAAATGCTTATAGTGGAGAATATAAAGTATTTTGGTCGCTCTGCTCCATAATCATTCCACTTCATCAGGCTATTGTCCTAGGTAGCCAGACTCCTGTCAGTAATAGTTTCCTTTTCTCTAGATGTCTGATGTTGTGCCACAATCAGTTTATAGAAAGGTGAATAATTCTTTGGGTCATAAACTTATCTAACATACAAAACATTTTTGCTAATTTAAGAAATTTAAATAGACTCAGAATCAACCTGTACAACACTTTAATAGTGAGTATTAAATGCTTACATTTTATTAGCCTAATGACTTCCCATTTCAAACCAGGGTTCAGTCTAACTAGCTATTAACCTTCCACCACTTTAGATTTTTTAACTTTTGTAGAAACTCAATGCAACATTTAACACAATACAGTATGTCAACCTTCACAGATTCTCACCTGAAAATATAAAAACTACACAAAGGTCACGTCACTCTCATACGTGTCGCTCTTTACAGCTTGTGCTCCTTTCTGCCACATGTTATCTATGCCACACATGCGCACTACTGCTACTGAAGTATTGCAGTAACTTCCCAATCCTAACATTACATGATCTCATGTAAGTGCAATAGCTTCCCTGATCCTCTCACCTCAGAATGCTTGATGCTTAAAACCAAAAGTGAAATGCCCTCAAGTGGTCACTTGAGGGCATCGCTAAAACACTGAAACATTATCTCCTTCAATATGGAAATTACAACAAAATAATAAGTTTGCGTGTACTGCTGGAGTTTAATACTCTGATTTCTACACCCTTCATCCAAATTCACACACATTTTCAATCCAGAAACACACGAACAGCGAAACACATTCTTTATGGACACTGTAGGACTTAATGCACCATCAAATATGATACATATTTAATGCATTTTCCAGTATGCCAGCAGACATGGTAAGATCAGAATCTTTACTTTCCACATCTTTAGCTATAGCTTTCTTTGGCAAATTTATTACAGTGTGTAACAAAATGTGGGGGAGGAGAAGCACTGAGCTGTGGTTCATACAGCTGAAGAAAACTCTGGTTGCTCTGGCAATTTCTCAGGCATTTCAATAAGAAGAGTTTTAATCATACAATTATGATTTATTTAAAAAAAAAAAAAGCTTATTTGAGGTTTTAAAAGGTTTTGCATACTTTTGATACCAGTAACTATTTAGATATGACATTTATAGTTTTATCATTGGAAACCACTATAAATTAATTATAAATGTATATTTTAGATCACTCTATAGCCACATTCGATAATGTCTTAATACTAACTTGCTCCTTTTTATGCTTTTCAGGTAACATAGAATACAGCTGTCCTGCCACAAACGAATGTGAGATCACAAAACGGCGACGCAAATCATGTCAGGCTTGTCGCTTCATGAAATGCCTCAAAGTGGGGATGCTCAAAGAAGGTAAGAAGAGTAAGAACATTTTTTATTAATTTTACACGCATCTATGCAAAACATCTCTTAACATCGCACCCCTCACGTTCAGGATAATTGCTTTGTTACGTCCCTGATTGCTGCAACAATCAGCCCACCGAGTTTCTCTTGTGCTCCACAACACAGCGCTTTGTCCTGCCTCTACCTACACAGCAGTAAATAATGTGCAGTTGAGCTGGGGACAGAAATATGCTGAATAGGTTGCTCCTGCCGTCTGAGTAACAGAAATGTAACAGTATTCCACTTGGAAAGGCTCACGCCGGGTCCCTCAGCACACGCTCACCACAGTCTCAGCTCTCCCTGGCATATTGATCCACTAAATGTTTTCCGAACATCTCAGCTCTCTTCCTGTGGACTTTTTTTTTTTTTAAGTCATGCCACCAGGGAATTCAGTGACAATTAAACATGCTCCAGATGGATTTGTCTGGCCACGGTTTCTCTCCCACTAAATATCACCACCAGCCAAACCCCCCTGAGACCTTCAGCCATGGCTGCTATTTTAAGGGAGGAACCTCTCTGCTTTCACCGCATTACACATCCTCACCTGCCTGACTTCTTTATTCGTTCTCACTGCTTTGTTGGAAGGGAAAATAATATTTCTGAATGAGGTGAAAATACATTCATGTCGATCGTGATTGAAAGTATTACTGTTTGTATTCATTTTACATTTTTAAATTATTTATTTGATGTATAAATTTTTCATGGCACAAAGACGACTCTGGAAACAACTAAAATGACTTTTCAAATATTTACATCCTTACTAATATTTGGTAAAAATAAAAAAAAGTCCCTTGGAAAACTGCAGTGAAACCAAGTTCCTGGCTTAAGTCTGACTGGAAATTTATGACTAAATCTTGGAGTTCAACTTTTAAATGTAGTCCATATTTATCAGTGGATATAAGTGGATACAAGTAACTATATAAATTAGTTAGATTTTCCCCAAAGCAAATCAAAATCTTAGCCTGACTTATCTTTTTCCAAAACTGGTTTGGATGCCATCTTTTTGCAACACCACATTGTGTCCTAATTTTTTCAAAGGATTACATCAGAATAAATGAAACTTATTAACACAGTTTTTCTAGAAAGGCCTAGAAACCCCTCAAGACTGAAGCATTGGGCAATAAAATGTAAAGTGCTGGAATGGCAGTCCAGCCTGTTTTAAATCAACAGGAAGTGACAGGGTGTTGACCAAAAACAAAACTGAGCCAAACTCCAAAAACATTTTCAGGTCAGACTAAAATTTGAAGGTGAAAGATTGAGCTGTTTGGCTGCCAAGAATGGAAGTGGCAGCAGCATGATGTGGGTTTGTTTTGCTCTTACTGACACTGATACTTTGCATGTCTATAGAATAATAAGAGTCAGTACAAATCACCATCTCCTGTTCTGTATGCAACACTTTTTATTAATGTATACAGCTCTGTGTTTAAACTGGAACCAACGTAGAAAATTAATTGAATTGTATGCATTAATTAAGTTTTATTCTGTTTACATGGCTCAATTGAATTAACTTTATATATTGTATACAAATTAGATCTGTTTGTCTTTAGATGGCATCTACTGTGACTTAGTACTTTGTGAATAAACTGTTGAAATGGAACAAGCATCACCTGAAAATCAGCAGCAAGGCAGCTTTAAACTAGGACACAGTTAAATGTTTCAGTAGGTTTTATGATTTGTGGTTAGAATGAAGTTAAATGCTGAGAAATCTGTGATCACAAATTGAGTGCTTTGGTATAAAACATAATTAAAACTTACGAAAAGGATGCAGGGGGAGCAGAGCAAGCAGAGGCTGGTTTGGAGAAGGACAGGTGAACCAGATGAACTAATCGGAGGAAATGTAGAAAAGCAGTGGCTGGGAGAAAGCTGTGAATTTGAGTCAGAGAGAAACAAATTAATGCAGAATGAGCTGAACCCTCAAAGCTTCATCTTACCAAAATGTTAAAGGCCTGATAATAATCTAAGGAAACAAATTCAAGTATAAAAGGAACAGAGCACAAAGGAAGAAACTAAACAGAAAGGAATGAACTTATATTTCAACACCATTAGAACAATAGTGAGCACAGAGAACTGAACAGAATATGGCAGGACCTGAAGTACAAAATAAACCTTAGTGATCCCAAACTCAGAACAAGAGATAAAGCAGGTTGATATTATTGTTTTTGGCAGGTCAGAAAATTTGTGGACTAACCTTACAAGCCTGTTCTACATGTACCTCAGAAATTAAGCTTAAAAGAAATGAAGCATCCAGCTAACAATGGCAGAAGCTTGTTGATGGTTACAAAGACTGGATGGTTTCTTTCAGCCAAATGTTAGTGGGAGTATATTTATGTTTAAAAATATGTGAAAAGTCTTTTCAGATTCAAACTTGTTTTTAAAATTATGTTATCAATTGGTCAATATTTTGTGATATTTGCTAAATGGTATTAAATTATGAATGTATTTATTTTTTTACAGTTACTCGTCCTGTATCACCCAGATTAAAACTTATACTTTGAAATTATCTGATAAACTCTTAAGTCAGAAGTCCCCTATTTCCTTCCTCCCATTATTCTGCCGTTGGACAGCAGGATTTATAGATGCATATATATTCAGTTAGCGGCCAGATCCAGAGTTGTGGCCCGTATGGATCTGCTGCACAGTAACAGAATCTCCTGGACTGCATGTGGCCAGATAAAGCCTCAGTGCCAGAAAGACAGAGTAATCGCATTACTATCTGATGAAAAATTTATGCCAATATATCATTCTGGAGAATAAGAGGCTACAAAAATATGTGGCTGTGGCTATAAATGAATGACCAGTGTCAGGTCAAAGTAAAAAGAGTGTAAAACTCAAATATTCACGCTCCGAATAAGCCCTGGGTTTTAATGCATTCTTCTGTGAATTCAGCATATTAGCAGAATGAGAACAACTCTCCTCTTTTGCATAGTTCTCCTCATCGCAAAGCCACAGCTATTGTCAGAATGTGATTGAAGATTAACGGAGCAGTTATCTCATAATTTAATGATTTTCAGACAGTATTATTGAAAACATTTCCAATGACTTATGGATAGAAGTGCAGTAGATTCTTTTCTTAAGATCCATTTTAGGGCTTTTTTAGCAACTGAAGGGAAAGAAAAACACACAGCGTGTGTCTGCTGTAAGCTCTCTGAAGCCGTGGGCTCAACACCGCAGCCGGACTCATCATGTGGAGATGACCACTGTTCATGTGACTCAGGATGCCACTTACTTTAATTACTGAAGAAAGGTCACATTGTGTCACCGTGGAAAATATCACCTAAATATATCTCAATAAACTATTCATCCATTTTAAAATAGCAAAGAAGTTTTCGGACAATACCATAAATGATAATTCTCATGTTACAGTTACAGTAGCTGAAGCTATTTTAAATGTTTATCATTTGAAAGTGTAGCACGATAAATATGGGGAAAGTAGTCTGCTAAAGATCAGCAGCAAGATTACAGGAATTACAAGAGCTCTGCCTGGACCCCATGTTTAGTCGCCGCACTTTCCTTTGACTGTATAAAGGAGGAAGTGATCGATACACGAATCAAATGTCAGGGGCAACAGGTTTTTTTGCTCTGATCAATGGAAACGGATCAGAGCTTAGAGCAAGAGAGAAGACAAGATAGCATTGAGAGATTACATTGACATCATTTGGTGGCAGTTGCTCTCTTCCTTTCCCGTCGCTGTGTCTCACTTACACACAGAGGATCAACCACATGCATGGCTACATGCAGACCAAACACTGTTCTTATGTAACAATTGCTTAAGCACTTCAGTCCTATCATTGCTTGCCTGGTTTATTGTCTCCAAGTGAATGTGTTGTACAACCTGGAAAATGCCATGCTTTGCCAAAGTCTTCATACTCTTGACCTTTTTCACATTTTGACATGTTACAATCTCAAACTTTAAAGGATTTATTCGGGTTTTTTTAGGGTAGACTAACACAAAGTGGAAGATAAGTGAGCTGAGACCTCTGTAGCTCCTCCAGAGTTTCCAAGAGCCCCCTCTTTACATACAAAAGAGCAATGCTGCTAGTACAATGCCCTTCATCAAATGTTACAGCAGAGAGTAAAAGACGTCACTATGTGTCATTATAGGACAATGAATTGAACAGCGTTGTTAGTGTTGTTGTATTAGTTTTTCATTAGGATATTTGGATGCACTAATATTCTCTAACAAACTCAGATTCATGCTGAGATTAAATGACACAGCTGGACTCTAATTACTGACTTATTCTGTGTAGATATGGGAATGCAATAGGATGATTTGGATTATCCGTTTGACAATGATGGTGACCTTGAAAGACAGGACATTTCTTGTTGCTTAGTTGAAAAAAAAAACTCACACCAATTTTATTGGAAAGTTATATAATATTCAAGGGTGAATTAGGGTAAGACAAGACAAAAAAAAAGTTTTACATCTCTTATTTGAGAACTGAATTTCAATTTAAGTGACAGTTACTCTTTGAATTTGTCCACATGTTAGCTGAGCAAGGTATTGCAGCTAACCTGCAAATGGACTATCTGGCAACGATGTCAGTATGGCATCTGATGACCCCTCCTCATCTGGAGGTCATCAGATGAGGAGGGGGCAATGTGTGACAATTTTCCGCTACCCTCGTTCATCACCACTCCTGATTAAAAATGCTGTGACACACTTGCAAGCATTCAAAGCTGGCAACAGGGGCCCTTTGAAATCGTGCTGACGGCAGTTTAGCGCGGCAGCTTCCTTGAAAGGCAAGGCTCACCATGCCTTGCCATGTGGCCTTCTGATTTTCCCAGCTAAAATAGGGTCTGTCTAAGCCCCCCTTGGCATTGCCAACCATCCCAGACATCCTGACACTTTCCCCAATGGAGAGATGCTCTGAACAGGTGAGGGACTCAAAATAAGGGCCTATACCATAGCTTGCCACACAAAGTGAGTGAAGACAGGCCCTTTTGTAGGAGTGTGCTTGAAGGGGGATTATTATTGTTTTTGGAGGGAAAGAAGAGCCCTAGGTCAGCTGGCCCCGGCCCCCACCTCGAGGCTTGCGTTAATCCATGTGCGAATGCCAGCCGCCTTGGCCAAAAGCCCCCTCCACAAGCAGCTTTCTTTGAAGAGATGATACCCGAGCTCACCCACTGCAACTCTCACTGCACTGTACAGTGAACCATAAAACAGTAAGAAGACTTTTGCATATTTATACCTCAATTGTTGCTTACCCATGGAGGAAGCACAACAGACCAATCAGTCAGACTCCTCAAAAATCCACCCTATGTCTCCAAGGGAATGAATGTAAATGTAACTAAACACCTCTGATCTTCCTTTCTGCTCATATCTGGACAGTAAAATGAGACAGGTTAAAGCCGAGCTTTAATTCCTGTCACCATTTGTTAATTATGGCCTGGACTGTAGTAATTAAAAGAGGCACCCATCCACCCTCCATCGCCGGCTGACACAGCCGCACAGCTCAACTGGCAGAGAGAAACACTGAGATCCGAAGCGCAGTCACCTGGCAGGAGCCCGTCTCTACAGGAGAGCTGAAAGAAACTGTAGAAAGTGGTGACATCACATTGGCCAATGAGAGGAGTTTCCATGGCTCAAATAAAAACTACTTGAGCTACAAATGGACTCCAATAAAAAAGGCCACTACATGCTTGTTTATAAGTTGGGGAGAAAAAGAAGTCTTTCATGTCTACTTGGTGTGTGTGCATGCGTGTGTGCGTGTGTGTGTGGAGGCGGCTTCCCCTATTCTTGCCGGGAAGGATGAATGTCTATTGGGAAATTGGGGTAATTAGGTTAGTAGGTTGTCACTGTCAGGAAATTGAAAGACAGTCCTAATCAGATTTGTGTTTCTAGGGAATTAAATAATTTATATAAGAAAATGAAATATACAGTTACACTGCATTGAAAAAGTATTCATACTCCTTGTAACACATAGTTGTTTATTGGAATCAAAGTGATGCATAGTTTTTAAAAGAAAAAGCTGAAAGGTTTAGGATGACCAAAGACGAAGGAGCACAGCAGACGGGTCAGGGAGAAATTTATAAAGAAGACGTCAGATCTGAAAAATTATGCAAAGCTTTGCGCATCTCACTGAGCACATTTCAGTCCATTCAGATAACTACAGACCGACTGAGACTGACAGGAGGGTGATGTGATCCACAGATCTAGTGTTTACAGCAAGGTGAAAAGAAGGGAGACAATGTTGAGGAAAAAAAAAAAACAAACATTACACATCTCATGTTTCATAAGCCATGTCGGTAGAAGAAGGTGCTCTGGTTAAATGAGACCTGCACTGCATGCAAGATTCCAAAATACCAGCCTGCAACTCAATGAGAGGACAAAAACCAACATTACACGTCACCCTGAAGACAGTATCTGACCAGTAACTGGAGGTGGTGGCAACATCAGGATATTTTTCTACACTCACGATAGAAAATCTGGACTTAACCAATGAGAGGATGGCTTTCTTGAATACAACAAGAAATACTTACAGAGGCCTTTAGAGATAACAGCAGAAGTTCACTTTTCAGTTGAAGGATTATATTCATTAAAATATGTTGAAGTTTGTGGTTTTAATGTTACAAACTGTGGAGAATTTCCAGAGGTGCAAATAATCTATCAAGACATATTACATTGCAATACATTCTAATGCCACCAACCTGCATTTATTAGCAGAGAAAAGAGGTTTGGTCATGTCACATAAGAGGTACAAATCTAGATATTTTGCATAAACCGGCTGTTGAGTTCCTTTTTGCTAAATGAAGGCCATCACTTCTGTCCTGCTCATCTGATTTTTCTCCTTTCCTCCCGTTCACCGAGCGACCTCCAGTCGTTTGTGCATAGGGCCCATCCAAACTCATCCTCTCCAAGAGCACTTGCTGATGGGTAAATTCTATTAGGCTCATTTGCAGTGGCCACACAATGTCCGGATTTGACACCGTCCTCCCTGTTATAAAGTGATGAAATCATCAAGGAAGTGCTCTGGCTGCGGGCGTTCTTCACTCAGAGGACGCAGGAAGCTGACAAATTAACTCCTCCTCCACCTCGAGCATTTCATTGAGCCTTTTCCCATCCATCCTCTAATATTAAATTTGTTTGAGGGGGGCTACATTATGTATACAGATTGAAAGGATTCTCCCTCTTGACAGGATTAAGATTTAGGTTTCACAGTAGCGATGACACACAAGTATGAAGATGCAGGATATAAATGCTTGCATGCAATTGCATTAAATAACCAAATACCTGCTCAGGGATATCAAAAGAAAAGGAACGGCGTCTATAAAATATGTTAACAATGTTGAAAATTAATAGAATAGAAAAGACATCCGAATAGAAACATTCTTATCAAATAATGAGATAATAAATAACTTATGTTATGATGAGGCTGGCTTGACATTTACAGTATCAGTGTGCAACCTGGCCCCCTAGGTGTGGCTGAGGGTGATAAGGCCCCTGTGCTGCTCCAGTGAAAGAGGGGTGAAATAGGGGTCTTTTATGGGAAAGCAATACCCAGTTATCTATCTGTGGTATGACAGCGGGAGCTTTGTTCGTTATGTGTGTGGCGGCATCTTTGCTCGGAGCTGGCGGTTTTTGTTTTGTGGATGTGGAGGAGAGCACACCTGAGCTCACAGTTGCGAGCGAAGAGGCAGGTAGCTGGCAGCTAATTAGTATGCAGCCTGCCTCACCCCAAAAGCTAAATAATTAGAGGGCCAGTCTGTGAGATCATTGACCCTGCATTAAATATTCATATGTTTAGACCTGCTCTGGGCTCAGCCGTGTCACAGTAGACCAGCCAGGCATGGGCCACATATGGGAAGGTAGCAAGGCCTCTGACACATTCATACAGACACACACTCCTGCGTACTCATTCAGGAATTCATTTCAACACACATATGCCACCATGCAGTCCTTTTTGATCACTCATGCAAAAGCAAGAGACAAACTAATCTAAGGAGTGTAATATTTGATTCAAAGTAGCAACCAGAACTTTTTACTAAACATTTTTTCACTTTGTTGACCTACATAATGTTTGTGTGTGCAGTGTGTAGGAAGCAGATTCATTCCCCTTGAAATTTTCCATCTTTACATCCACAACCTTCAATGTATTTTGTTGTGAAAAACCAAGACAAAGTATCTAACGTTCTGAAATGGAAAATATGTGTATATCACACATATCCAAGGCAGTATTGTGCAAGATGGCTGAAGCTAAAAAAAAGCAAGGAACTTTGAATGAAATCTATCAGAGTCTGGTAAAAGACTTGAGATGGAGTTTCACTTTGCAGCTGGACAGCAACCTTTGACACATGGCCGCTGTCTGGGTGAAAATATCCATGTTAAAAGGGACCAGTCAAAGTCAACTGCCATGTTAAGTGTTCTTCACAGATGCTCTCAATTCAGTCCAACTGTGTGGCTTTGTGAAGGAAAATGGATGGAGATGTCAGTATCTTGATCTACAAAGCTGGAAATTTACTTTAACGGACTTGCATGACTCTTACGGGATGAATACAAATTAACACCACACTTATTTAAAACCATAAATAGGTTTCCTTCAACTCTACAATTATCCCCGAGAAAAAAATTCATCTACAAAATATACTACCTTCTGTCTAAGCAATGTGAAAATAAGGTTGAACAGTGAAAGTTGTTACATAAATACATAAATACATCTACTGATGCTGAACTTTGCTTGAAAGATGGTTGGGGATGAACAGATTGGTCAAACCTTACTTTCTTAAAAAATACCAATTTTCAAAATACTTTTCAAGCTAAATTTATAAAAGGACTGACCGACCTTACAGTCAAAACATGTAGAATTTGCAGAGTTGTGTTTGTTTATCATAGAAAATCCTAATAAAATACACTGAAGTTTGTAACTGTAACATGACATACTGTGAAACAGTTCAAAGAGTAGGAATACATTTGAAAGACAATATATTTGATATTCTTTACATTCTGTCTGTTAAGCAAAATACACACATTTCATCTGGTGATTGTCTGACTTCTCTTTCCCAGGGGTTCGTTTGGACCGTGTGCGAGGGGGCAGACAGAAGTACAAGCGGAGGCTGGACACAGAAAACAACCCATACCTGGGCTTGACGCTCCCGCCTCCTACTAAAAAGCCTCGTGAGTACTCCATCGCTAACCCGTCGTCACCCCTCATCCAGCCAGTCAGCTTTCAGGTAAAGCCTGGCCAGATTCATGCTCCTCTGTCACTCCCATGTTTGGACAGTTGAGAGATCATTGGTCAGAAATGTAGGCCATGTATTGTTCCGGCCATAGCTGAATTATGTTAAGTCTCCGAGCGGGTGACCGCTGTTATACAACTGAATGCTGGAGGACGCATTTCCCATTGCAGTTTCTCTTTTATTTCCCACAAACATTCAATTAGTTTCTCATATTGTCACAATGATCAATACTGAACATCTTTATGGTCCTTTGAGCTTTTTCAACCTCTGACCTCTTCTTTTTGTCGACGTCCTACTGCCCTCTCTTCTATTTTCAGTCACAAAGATAGTGTCTCACCTGTTGGTGGCCGAGCCAGAAAAGATCTACGCCATGCCTGACCCGACCATGCCAGAGAGTGACATCAAGGCTCTCACAACGCTGTGTGACCTGGCTGACCGCGAGCTTGTGGTCATCATTGGCTGGGCCAAACACATCCCAGGTAGAAAAGATTTCCCTCTCGCTGTGTCTTATTCTTTCTAATTTCTTTCTCTCTCTCATGTTTTACCCGGAATTTAACTCTTTCACTTTTGTTCTCTTTTGCTCTTGAAAGATTGATTCTTATCTTATTCTTCTCTATTATTTTTTTAACATATCTTTTCTTATTAATATGATACACCTGAGCTTCATTGTTTTATTTTTTGATAAAGAACTTTGATACACTATCAGATGAGTGGTGCTATACCAATAAACTTGCTCTGCATAAAAAAGTAAGCATTTCATAAAATGAGAGCAGCCCACTTACCCTTCTGGTGTCTATTGGACTAAAATAGTGAACACTTAGCAAAGTTTTTCAAGAAACACATCTTGAATTAATGCATCTAAGATCCCTTCACTGAATGAAGAAGGAGAAATGGGGAGATTTAAAGCAAAGTTTGGGACCTGCCCAAACAAATAAGTCATCATATCACACTTGAATGCACCGAAGAGCAGGAGCACACACACATCTTCTGAATTATTGATAGGCATAATCATGTTTCTTCCGTGCCCCATAGACATCGTGATAGACGAGGTGTTAGGTTATAAGAGGCTGTTGAATTAAGGATACACCATTGAGAATACACCGCCTCACGTCAGCAGAGATTTTGCTTCCTTCAAGAGTTTTTCCTCTGATTTTGACAGAGAACATGTTGTTCAGCCGCTCTTTTTTTTTGCAACCCAGGCAGATTCTGCTTGATCTTGCTCTTGACCCCCATAACTCTACAGCATTACGATGCTGTAAGCGCGAAAGAGTAACAGACTAAATGACAGTGTCCCTCAGCGGCAACTCCATAACCTCCTTCGCTCATCAGCATAACGTGAACAGGGACACAGCTGTCAGCGTGCGGGAAAGCTCAAGCAGCTGCATGCTTTTATTTTATGTCTGTCAGTTATTGAGATCATTTAAATTCAACTTAAGTAAATTGAGAGAACTTATTTAAATCAAACCAGCTGGAAACTAAGCTGACCCTTTTTTATATAATGCTGAAAAGGTATTAGAGTACTTCTCAGAAGGAAGGGTATTAATCAGGTACAGATCTAATAGTAAGGAGATTAGAGGTGGATATGCTCCCAGGCCCTGGCCTCAGCTCCAGTTCCTTACTCGTCTAAACTGTTTGGATCACTCCGCACATGGCCATGCATGGTCAGCAGCCTGAGAGTTTAACCAAGGAGCTTACTCAGGACTGGATCACAGCTGACCTGATAACACACTCCCATCGATGTGACCCAAAAATGACGCCAGCGCCACAGACATTCTGAAAAATCCCATGATACTGGACTGTGGAGGGCTGGAAGCAGAACACACTGCCTTTGTTAAGGAATGAAGAGAGAGAGGAAACCTTAAATAAACTTGCACATTTGGATTTGTTTTGCAATTTTGTATTTGTGCTCTAAATATTTTACATTTATCTGCTTACACTTTTCTTACATGCTGTAGTGCACTTTATAGACATTGCAGAGGTTCATAGTGTTCCTGTGATTTGACAAACACTAATCATTTCAACCCATCGCTTCGAGCCCATGGTTCTGTTCCTAAATTAGCACAGGTATCTGCCACTTAAAGGCTACAATGAATAATCTGCACTACCTGTGAGATGATAGCCTATAAGCAGATTATTTTGATCTCCTTCCTTGTAAACAGACTCTCACTAATACCTGTGTTTCGTAATGTTTCATTGTTGAATCAAGCTGTTTTTTCTTTATATTAGATAACCATTTAGGTGAGAAAAAAAAATGCTTCTACTAAGTGCTTGGTTTGCGTCTGTCCCGGAGGTGGCGTTTGTATTAGGACAGTGGGTGTCCTTTGGCCATGAAATGGCTGCATAATTGAGTTGTACATGGCTGAACCTGATCAGAGACGGTTCACTGGTTGAGCGAAACTCCATGCGCTAACACTCCATGCTCCGACGGTACCCTGGGGCAGCCTACCATGCTCATCTCCTGCTATATTTCTCCTCCTCCACTACAAGACCAGACAGGGAAAAAAGTGCTGATTGTATTCTGATAGATTTTTGTGGCCTTTGGCGATGGAATTAAAAAGATTAACAGTTCATAATGAAGTAGAACACACTTATTAGGCCACTTTCAGATGGGCCAATAACTAACGTTCAAATTCAACAGTTTAAATGTCAGAAAAATTGGCACTTAGCATCTCCCAGTTGATTTTTAATTTCGTCTATTAACGGAGAACATTTTAAAATGTGTTTGAAAAGCGGCGTAATGTGGAGAAGAATGGCCCAATTGCACATTAATGGGAGGGCAAGTGGAGGATAACAAGCTGTATTAGTCGTATGGATATAGTCCAGTGTCTTTCGTTCTGAGCTATAAAAATGAATAAGCATCCAGACCCTTGCAAAAGAATTCATACCCCTTCAATTTGTCACTTTGCAAACAACTTTAATGTACGTTTAATGTTTTGTAAGATAGACAAAAACAAAATAGCTCAGATTTTCAAGAAAACTGCATTCTGCAAAGTGTGGTATGCATTCATATTCAGTCCTTCTGAGTCAGATTGGACCTTGTTTTGTTTTAATTCTGACTGGAAGTGTTTTGGTGTATGTCTCCATGAGCTTTGCATGTTAAAAGATTATTTTTCCTGCAAAATAGTTGAAACTCTGTTAGATTACTTTAGGAAAATGCCAAATCTTTTCACAGATTTTGAATTAAATTTAGATCTGGACTTTGACTAGTGCATACTAAAAACATGCATATGATTTGATCAAATCTTTACATTGTTGGTGTGCCTCCAGAGGAACATTTCCTGCAGGAACGTGAACCCCATTCTTTTACAGATTCTCCCACCTGAGCTTTGAATCTCTGCAGCTCCTCTAAGACTTATCTTAAATGCTTTCACTGATTAATGTTGTGATAGGCTGACCAGTCAATTTAAGTGAATGACCATGTCTTGTTAGATTTGCAATTCTGGGACACTCTTTCAAATATCAGACTGACATGAACATTATCTTAGAGATTTGCAAATCTTGATATAAATATTTTTTGTTAGGTGAAAAATTTATGGATTTAATTAAACTAAAAGTACATTATATCTGTTTGCTATTGCAGACAGCAACTCTGCCCTGATTCTGGTTCTCCCTTAATCACAGCAGAACCTTCGGACACTTCAGCCACTTCTTTAAATAGAAGCATGAGGCGCAGTCTGCAGCCCCCTGAAGAGGGTCTGGGGTCATTAGTAGGAGCAGTGTTACCGGGATGCTGACAGATGGGTTGTTGCTCCTAAGGTCCCAACAACCTTTGACACACATTGCAGGGCACTGTACAGCCCCTTTGGCCCGTTTCCATCACGTAAAGCTCAAATCCACGCTGTCCAGGTGCTTTACGGAGGAACTAAGTACACTCACAGCCTCAGTGCACTAAAACCGCCTTGACACTGAGAGTGTGACTATGCTGGATGCAGTCTCCACTATCATGGTCAAACTGGTATACACGCCTTTTATGCAAGGTAGCGCAAGAAGCTAAACTTTGACATTTACAAAAATCAGTCAAAACACTTTTACTGTCCCAACTGAAAATGATTATATTGTTCACTTTATTTCTTTCACCACATATTGTGATTATGTTGTAAAATTGAAAACCAAGTGTCAGAGTTTTACAAAGGGTGAAGTGATACTACTCTCTATGTGGTTCTTTATATGAACAGGTTAAAATACCCACCACCAAGTCTTTAGTATCTAACAGGCCAATGTTCAGTCCATCATATGTCACATCTGTGAATCTTCCAAGGCCAGACAGTAAGGCACTGGACTGCGAAACATTAATGAGACAAACAATTAAAATGAACATGGTAACTTTGGAGGTAGCAGAGATAGATGTTCGCTTTCAGCAGAACAAACAACCTAAATTTACTGTCAGTGATACAATGGGATGGTGGAAATCAAATTCCTGTGTTGGTATGGTGCATTCAAACTCTGGACCTAAATGCAATTAAGGACATGTGGCAAGACTTGAGAGTCGGAATAGAAAAAACAAAAATCTCAATGTAATCATTGCCCACAAAACATTTTTTGTGGTATTTTATGGTTGTACAAAATTTGCACTCCACACCTTTCAGATTTTTATAAGTAATTCTTAAAAAAATTTAAAAAAGAAACATGTATCACTTTAACATTACCTAACACTTTGTTTTGGTTTATTACATAAGCTCCCAATAAAACACTTTAAGCTCTGAGTTTAATGCTTAAGGGACATGAATGCTTTTGCAGAGCACTGTATCTTTTTTATTAGGTGCTTAGAAATGAATTTCTTATTTCTTAACACCAGGTGTTTCAGCATTAGTTGTATTACATTTAGGCCAGAAGAAGGTAATGACTCAGACTGCATTGCGCTATTTATCGCTGGTGTTTTGGGAATATTCATTATCTGTGCTTTATTGAATCCCTGTGTTTGACAGACAAGTGGCTGCCGCATTACTTGTTAACACAGAGGCAGCGATGTCGAAAAGAGATCACACCTTCTTGTATGTTGTCGTGTTTGCGCTTTAATCACCCGCACTCTCCCAGCAGCCCCCGCCCCCCCTCTGCTCCATCAGGGTTCCCGTTTTCTCTTTGCCATTAAATTGTAAAATCTACTTACTGTGTTGCCAGCCTGATCCCACTCAGGCTGCGTAATCTCCTTGTAATAGAGTGTGAATACTGCCCAGCGATAAATCAGCACCTCATCAGCGCACTTTATTAAATATAGACACCAACAGACAGCTCTTAGTATATTCAATTTACCCTCTGACGTAGGCTTCAGCATGGGGGATAAAGATAGATTGAGCAATCAGGTGGATGCTGAGGCTTGAATCCAGGCAAGAGGGACTGGAGAAAACTTGAGGAATTGAGATGGGTTGTATATGAGAAGTAGGAAGAACCACAAATGCAATGCTTGCCAAGCAGGCGGAAAAGACTTTAACTCGCATTTTTGTTATTTGGGTGGAAAATTATGAAAAACGTTGAAATCATG